CTCCATTCTGTTCTTAAACTGAACAAATTTTCCATTAGATCAAACTATAAGGTTTGGTAGGTTTAAAGCAATCTTCCAAGTCTTACTATGAATTCAAAATAAAAATGTTTCCATCAAGGCCATGAAGAATGCCCTATTTTACCTTGCTGTCTCTCCTTTGAATAGGACCAATAGGACCAAGGAAATTACAAGTTTCTATAAAATCAAAGCATTTTCTTAGTACCTCTTGGTTAACATTTTTGAAGGATATGCAATATGCTTCATATATCAACCCCAGTGTTTTAGGTGTTTTAGTTTTTCCAGTACTATTCTATTTCCTTATGTATTTCTAGAATATACCATTTCTGCCCCCCATGAGCTCATTCTTTTTAAAAATTTTTTCATTTTATGTGTATGAATGTATTGCATGCATATATGTAAGTGCTACAATGTCATGCAGTGCTCACAGAGGTCAGAATAAGACATCGGATCCCCTGAAACTGGAGTTATGGACAGCTGTTAACTGACATGTCACTGCTAGGATTCAAACCCAGGTCCTTTGCAAGTACAGCCAGTGCTCTTAACTGCTCAGCCATCTTTCCAGCCCCAAAAGAGCCCAGTCTGATAATTTTTGAAATGTAGAAAAGTAAGTCCTGCTTATGTGTTTAAGCAAGTGGAGTTATAGATCTTGTTTTAAACTTTCACATTTCTAGAAATACTTTAAGCATCCATTATAGACCACCTCTGATATCCTAAAAATCAGAAAAAAATTAAGGTTTAAAATTATGAATACGGGGCAGGAGAGATGGCTCAGCGGTTAAGAACACTGACTGTTCTTGCAGAAGACCTGGATTCAAATCCCAGAACCAACATGGCAGCTAACACCTGTCCATAACTCCAGTTCCAGGGGATCTGACAGCCTCTTCTGTCCTCCGCGGGCATTGCACGGCACAGGTGCACTTACCTACATGCAGGCATAACACTCATACACATAAAAATAATAATTTAAATTATGAATACTCGAACCATCCTTAACTGCAGTTCCAGGGGAATCCGAAGCCCTCTTCTGACCTCTGTGGCACTGCATGACACGGGTGCACTCATATACATACAGGCAATACACTCATACACATAAAATAGAAATAAAATATTTTAAAACTTATGAATGCTTGGATAGGCTTACAGTCCTTACATATCCTTCTTATCAGGATGCTTACTCACTATGTGATGCCAGTTACTCAGATACTGTGCTGGACAGCTTTAGTTGTCAGTTTGACACACCTGAGTAGAGGAAGCCTCAATTGGTGAGTTGCCTCCATTGGACTGGCTTGTAGCCATGTCTGTGGGGCATCTTCTTGATTATTGAGTGATGTGGGAGGGCCCAGCCCCCTGTGCGTGATGCCACCCCTGGGCAGGTGGCCTATGTTGTATAAGAAAGCAGATTGAGCAGGTGCCAGGGGAGCAAGCCAGTGAGCAGCCTTCTTCCATGGTCTGTGCTTCAGCTCCTGCCTCCAGGTTCCTGCCCTGAGTTCCTACCTTGGGCTCCCTCAGTGATGAACTGTGATCTGGGAGATGTAAGCCAAATAAACCCTTTCCTCCCCAAGTTAGCATTGGTCAGAGTGTTTTGTCACAGCAATGGAAGGCAAACTAGAACAGATACTGTTATTAATTAAGAGTATTTCAAATTTGAGACATACTAGAGTTCTTAAAAACCAATCCAGGAATGGTGGCCCATGCCTTCAATTTCAGCACCCAGAAGGCAGAGGCAGGTGGATCTCTATGAGATCAAGGCCAGTGTGGCCTACATAGTGAGTTCCAGGCTGATGCTACAGGTAGGTCCTGTCTCAAAAGGGTCAAAAAAAAAAAAAAAAAAAAACCCAAACCAAAACAAACAAACAAAAAAACAATTTCTCAGGCTGGAAAGATGGCTCAGTAGTTAAGAACGCTGGTTTGTCTTGCAGAAGACCCAGGTTCAAATCCCAGCACCCACATGACAGCTAACAACTGTCCGGAACTCCAGTCTCAGGGTATCCAACAGCCTCTTCTGACCTCCACGGGCGCTGCACAACATGGGTGCACTTACCTATATGCAGGCAATACATGCATACACACAAAATAAAAATAAAATTTTTAAAAATTTCTCGAGGCCCTTACGAAATGAACTTTATCATACATGTTCTTACACTAGGTTTTTAAGTTATCTATTCTATTTATGTCCTATTTCTTACCATATATTAGTTACCAATTCTTATGGGTAATGGTTACCTACAGTGCCTCAATTTCTAAATCTTGCACATATGCAAAAGCCCTTGTTGACTTTCTGTGACCTCCTCTGTGAGTATGTAATAGGGGTGGTTAGATCCAGATGTATGAATACCTTCTCCAAAAATGTCAGTTTGCCCTCAAGTGACTTCCCATAGCCTGAATTCAGCAGTATTGGTGCCAGCTGCTTCTTGATGGAATCAGTTTAAAGTGAGGCTTATTTTACATTAAAGTTTCTGATTCCTATTAAGTTTTAATACTGCTTCATATAGTTGTTAAACATCTATGTTTTCCTTTTTGTAAGTTGGCTATTCAAATCATGAATTTTTTATATTAACAACTAATGGGAAACAATGGTTGTGTTCATTTCCTATTTTCCAACTGGGTGCAGGTCATTTTATTGAATCATTAAAGTTTCTTCTGTGGTTTCAATATAGATCCTTTATTGTTTGTGGACTCTGCTAATAGTTCTCTGATAACTTTATTGATGTTTCCCTTGTTTTTACATAATAAAGTCAATCAATTTTTTGCCTTATTTTTTTTTTCTTTTTCGTTTTTTTCTTTTTGAGACAGGGTCTCCTTGTAGCCCCAGCTGTCCTGGAACTCACTATGTAGACCAGGCTGGCCTTGAACTCACAGAGATCCACCAGCCTCTGCCTCCCAAGTGCTGGGACTACAGGTGTGTACCACCATGCCCAGCTATTATTTTAATTTTATGTGTATGAGTGTATTACCTACATGTTTGTAAGTGCACCTGTGTCATTCAGTGCCCACGGAGGTCAGAAGAAGGTGTTGGATTCCTCCGGAACAGGAGTTACAGATGGTTTTAGCTGCCATTTGGGTGCTAGGAATCAAACCCGGGTCCTCTGCAAGAACAGCTAGTGCTCTTAACCTCTGAATCATGTCTCCAACTTCGCCTTACTGATTTTGAGGGAGACCTTAAAAAGACTCTAAGGTCAAATATTCTTCATGAAATGTGCATGGCCAGTTGAAGGCCCTAGAAAATGCAGTGTGTGAGGATAAGTGAAACTAGCTGGCCTCAGCTTCTGCTGCTGGCACAGGTCATGACAGCTATTCCCGATAACTAGTTCTTGTTTTTCTCCTACCAACCTTTCTAGAGTTTCCTTGTCCTTGGCCAGTACTTCAGCTATATTAATCTACACTTTCCTTCCTGAGAGTTCAGGGCCTTGCCTGCATGCCCTTATCAGCATGAGGAGTGTGGAAACACCCAGCTGCCCTGAGCTCTTTGCCTGCTGTGTAGCAGTAGCCCTAACCTTAGGATGACCGGGATAACCCAAACTGTAACTCTTTCTTTGCTGCAGTGTCGAAACTCCCTTATGACATTAAGTGGCAGACAACATCAGATTCGGTAGAACCCTTACTATGTTTCCAGGTGAGCAAGGCCCCTGCTCTTTAGGCTTTGGAATCACTAATCCAGCATGGCCTAAAGATACAGAAATAGGAAGCATGAATTCCACAAACGTGTTAAAGGACATGATATTGAAAGAGGCCGATATTTTGTGGTTTATGGACCGGGGTTTCCAGATATTGGGAGCAAACCCACCAGGTTTAATATAGGGATTTCTGCATTTTATATAAAGAGGCAGATGGGAAATGCTTTATGCTTGGCTGGCCATAGAGGTCTTTGTCAGCAAAGGGATAAAATAGTCACAGACAATGCAAAAACAATTCTGTACAGTTAAGGACTGTATTAGGACCTATAGCCCCAGACAGAGCTCCCCACTGACATTAGTAACAATAATTCAGGTAATGTGTCTTATCATATGTCACCAAGTTACCGACTGCTTCGGGCATCTCAAGTGTTAGGAACCATAGAACTTTGCACCAGTCCTGCAGCTGACATCAGCAGTGGTTGTTAGCCTATCATCTCAGTGACAGCCTGAGCAACTGGAACACACATTGACAGCCACCATATCTGCCACCTGGACAGTTCTGTTCTGTAGCCCATTGAGTAAGTGTGGGGATAGTCAAAAGACATCTCACAAATGAGCTGTTGCTTTTCTATGATGCTATGAATGGAACTAAGCAAATAAGCCAGATTCAGAAAGACAAACGCCAGATTTCCTTCCATATGTGGAGCCTCCATTTTATACATATATAAGATTATTAATGTCAAAACCACCTCAAACAAAAGCACTGAAAAATAAGAACTTAAAACCTTCTATCAGAGTATCAAAGTGATCTTTCAAAAGTCCAAAAACATATATATGACCTGAAAAGCTGGACTGGCTGTGAAAAGGAAGGGAGGGAGTGGAGGAGAAAGGAAAAGATTTGGTCAGAGCATATTGCATACTTGAACGAAAATGTGTTTGTCCCATCACTGTGTAATGCATATATGCCAGTATAAAATTCTCAGTGGATGCTTAAAAAAAATCAATGAGTTTTTAATATGAGAGTAATTCAGAATAAACTGAAAATGAATTTAGGAATACTTTTTAAGAAAAAATAATTTTAGATAGGTAATTACAAGGAAGATACTCATCAAAACAGCCAAACCCACATGATTCTTCCACAAGTTCCAAGGTGAGGCATCAATACCCTGAAGGGCCAGGAATTCATCGCCAGTGCACCTGAAATTTAACACACAGGCACACAAAAGTAACTACATCACTAGCATCTGCCAAATTTTACTTAGTATAGTCAACATTCCTTTGTTAAAGGAGACCTAACTTAGACAAATCATTAGTAGTTAGCCCTTCCTGCACAATAGCTAACAGTAAGTCATTGCATGCTTAGAATTTTAGTAGTTGGTATGCTAAGCAACTTATACCCATTAGTTTATGTATCAAAATCAAACCATTAATAATTATGAGAAAGAGAATATTAAATTTTAAAACAAGATTTTTAAATTGTATTAAAAATGTGTGTCTATTTTAATAATTATGAAAAATGGAATTTCCTTCTCACTAGTATATGTGCTGCTTTCAGTAGAGGATACATTCTCTTATAGGGAATATTGTGAGTCAGTTTAAAGGCACAAAGTCTCCAATTTGGACTTCATGATGCTCCTGAAAGTAAATGAGAAGGACATGCCAGGACCTGAGGGCAGTGCCTGCCCTTTCAAACCCAAATGCTCTGAGAATTACAACTCAAAAGGTCAAAATGATCTTGCAAAAGGCCTAACTCATTTCTCCACACTGAATTCAAGTTTGACTATAGTAAAAGATAGACAGCAAGTTCCCCTGCGTTAGTGCACAATGACTCACTCACTTTACAGGTGAGACACTTAGTCTCAGGTTTGTTGACCTTTAAACCTTGAAAGGATCTGTACCAACTCCAAGCCCAACAACCTTTGACATTGCACAACAGTATCAGGTTAATCCACTAGGACACTGATCACAAACTTACATTACATAGTTGGGACAGACACTGCTTTCTTTTGTATTGAATCCTGGACAGTAGTTTTGTCCTAAAAATTCATTATACTGCAAAGCCTGTAACACAAAGGAAAGCAAGACAAGGTTTGAAAGTCAAAGTTCCTGAAGAATTATCACAATCATATCCCTAACACTAATCATTAATGGAATTTCTAAAACCAAAATTTCACCTTCAAAGTCTTTGTCCCAGCAAGAGAATTAAGTTATCTTTCCTGGCAATCAAGAGGTCTATGGTAGAGGTTCTGCTTTTCTTTGTTCAAGAAGGGGCTTCAATCAAGAGGTCTATGGTAGAGGTTCTGCTTTTCTTTGTTCAAGAAGGGGCTGTATCAAACCTCTGCCATCCAGGTCTCAGGTACCATTGAGGAAGAGAGGGCAGAAAGACTAAGAGCCAGAGGTGGCTGATAACTATAAGGAAACAGAGTTTTTCCAACAACTGGGAAGTTACTCATATGAACTTACAGCAGTAGTAACAACATGCACAAAACACATGCAAGCTCAAGCCAGACAAAAAACCCAGCATAGACATGGGGAAATGGGTAAGAAGCCCCAACCTTAGCAGAGAAACTGTTGACAGCTGGTCACTGCTGGATGAGGGAGAGCTGGTCTTTTTTAAGGGAGTGGTGCTAGATAGGCTGACCAGGCTTCAGTGGATGGAGCCACAAAGGACATTTGGGGACACTTGTCTTGAAAGGCCTTAACATATATGATAGAACATATGCAATATGATTGAGGAGTAGAAGAGGGGTGCAGATAGGGAGGGGGTCTAAATATGATCAAAACATATGAAATTCACAAAAATTTAACAAAATTTCCCAAAAGAAGGGGTTTGATTATCCCTGAGCTTCTTCCTTCCCTTTCCCTAACTCAAGCATGTAACCCATAAACACTAAAATTGAAATGATAACTGGTGCTCAACAAATACTGTTGGTTTATGGTAGTAGTCTCATAGCATCAATAGCACTTAAACTATGGGAGTTAGAAGTTCAGTTATTCTGTATTAGAACATAGCTTTCTTTGGAGAACATTAGCTTGCTATAGTCAATATGGCTATGAGTATTACATGGTCTTTATTTTGTTCCAATTTCCTGTTCAATATAAACCATGTATTCTAATTTCCCACCCTCTCATTTATTTCCTTCTTAAATGGAAGCACATTTTAAAATCAGTTAATCAGTCTTCCCATTTACTATGAGATCTCTCTCACACTTCATGTGTCTCAAACAATAGGGCGACTGGGGGAAAGTCTAAACATCTCTCTAACCTAGTGTAAGCCTGATAGGAAAATTTCGCTCATTGCTCCTGAAAAGAAATTCACAGCTTGCAGCTGGGGAAAAGATGTGGCTGGACTTTATACTTCCTATTCCAGCCTGAGAGCCCAGTCACAACGACAAGGATGGTTTACCATGAAGCCATAATGAGGGATGCTGAAGTACTGAAGCCACGAAAGTCTGGGCGCAGTTGTTTCAAAATAAAATGCTGTAGCCAAAAAGATCTACAGAACAAAAACAAAAATGCACAAATCAGAACGGGTCTGGAGATTTCATGGGCATTTTAGACAAAACCCCTCTTCAAGACTCCTACAACTTTCTAAACATTTCTTCTAGGACAAACTCTTGCTTGAAATGCTTTTCACTTAAATGCTAATCTTCCTCCTTTGCATGGGCATGTGTGCACAGCTGAGGCTGTTGCTGGTTTAAAAGGAAAGGGAATGTGCCTATAATCTATATTACATATACCACTGTGGAAGATCCTTAATTATCAAGACTATGTCCTAAACGTTCTCTATAACTGCACGTAGTGGAAGGTAAGTATAGTTCTACGTATCCATGAGAGATTGGTTCCATGACCACCTTCCCAACGCCTGTCTCTACACACACATAAATCTAGAGATGCTCAAATCGCTTATTTTTAAAGTGTCATAATTTCTAAATATGATCCAGGTATACCATGTATATATGAGGACTAGAGAGATAGTTCAGCAGTTAAGAGCATTGGCTGTTCTTGCAGAGAACCCAGGTTCAGTTCCCAGCACCCATATGGCAGCTAACAACCATCCATAACTCCAGTTCCAGGGGATCTGACTGAGACCCTTTTCTGGCCTTTGTGGGCATTGCACTCACCTGGTGCACTTACCTACATGCAGGCAAAACACTCATACACATAAAATAAAAATATAATATTAATGTTTTAAAACATAATTTATCTGAATATTGTATCAGTTGTAGATTGCTCAGGATACTTAATACACTACAAATGATATGCAAATAGTTTATACATATACTTTAGCAAACAGTGACGAGAAAAAGAAAACCTGCACCTATTCAGTTTTGTGAAATTTTGATTTGTAGTTGGTTGAACCTTTGGATGTGGAGCCATGAACATGGAGGGCAGACTCTCCTGACTGATCTTATTATACTACTGAAATATATTCACCCTAATAAACCAGGCAATATGGAAACACAGCTGCACAATCCTAAGCATCACATTCCTCTCTCTATGTCCATGCAACAATGATATTTATTTACAAGAAGGGTTTGCACGCTATATGCATGACTTAAGGAAAATTCTGGGGTCCAGAGGCAGGTGTAAGATAACCTCAAGTGTACAATGATAAACCACACAATGTGGTGAGGTATAGCAGAAAACAGCATCAGTAACTTCATTCAAAGCTATTCCAGAATAATACTGACTGCAATGGAGATGCCAGGAAATACTGCTCAAAATTAGCACGTTATAGTTCTGAGGTTCAAGTTAAATGTGTCCTAAGTTTTACCAGACTTTCTTAGATATTCAAAACAATGACAATGTTGCTGGAATGCATTCATATTTTTAGACCTGATCTGACCCAGTGCGTATCTGTATTATACAACAGCATCTCTACATAAAATACAGTTTTATTATTGGTTGTTGATGTTCTACATAGAAAGTTTTAAAATTTAATCAGTCAATACATCAAATAAATCAAAGCATATCGATTTATTGAACATTTACTTTAATAGGTGATAATATAAGAGTTCAAGGCACAGTCCATCAAGGTGAGGAAACCAAGGGGGCAGAGCTAGCCACAGAGTCCACAGTCAGAAGAACAAAGCAAGAATACACACAGTCTATTCAGCCCCCTTTCTATGCTCATGCAGTTCAGAATTCCAGTCACCAAAAACCTCCAACATCAATTAGGGTAATCAAGGCAGTAACCCATAGGCATGCCCAGAGGCTCATCACCCAGGTGTTTTTAGATCTGTGAAGTTGACAACACAAACCATCACACCCAGGATAGACTCCTCATGTCACACATTGTGACCCTTCTCATGAGCTCTCCTTTTCCCCTATAGAGTAGAGAATTCAAACAAAACATCTCTGCTATGGTTAAGTGATGGACCAGCAGTTCTCTAACACCAACATCAAAGGCAAGCAAGACAGCCTGATTTTTTTTTTTTTGCTTGTTGTTTTAATTTATTTGGATTTTACATGTATGAGTGTTTTGCCTGCATGTATAAGTGTACCTATGTCATGTAATGCCTACAGAGGCTAGAAGAGGGCATCAATCAGATCCCCCTGGAACCGGAGTTATAGATAATTGTTAGCTGCCATATGGGGGCTGGGAACCAAACATGAGTCCTCTGTAAGAGCAGTCGGTGCTCTTAACCACCCAGCCATCTCTCCAGTCCCTGGCCTGATGTTTTTGATGAAGGAATCCTTCAAAAAGAATTCACAATTCACCTTTTTTTTGAAATTTCTATTTATGAATTTTTCATAATATATTACCAAAAAGTATCTATGAAAAGCTGATTATTAAGGAAATGTTACCTGAGTTACAGTCATTATAACAGCAGCAAAAAAAGATATATAAGGGCTAGGAGGAAATTTGAGACCTTTCTATTCTATGTTTTAGCATACATCTTTTTGAAAGCATCAGAGTTCCATGTACAGAAACTTCAAAGCAGATTTTACAGGAAGGAACACAGGAAAATTGTTCTCAGACAAGCACAGTTCATACTCACCACCATGAATGCAATATAGATGTTCATGAGAAAGTGTGTCATGTAGTCCAGCCTCTGACTTATTGCTATAGCCAGAGCCATAGAACTGGCAGTGTATGTCACCATCATAATAGTAAAAAATACAATGAGGAAAGCTTCCAGCCCTGGTTTCAATCCTTAGAAAAAAGAAGGGACAAAACAGCAGTCAGGGTCACATTATAGTATTCTGAGAAACTAGTCTCATAACTTTACAAAGTCACTCACTATTTGGCTATTCTGAGTAATTCCATGTAAATTCCTCAGTTCCTAGGTTGAAGGCAACTCAGTGGGATAAGATTCTAGTCCTTCTCTGCTATATAAAATTTATCAATATCACATTCTTTTGGCCCAGCGTCTCCTCATCTTTCAGTGTGTTTGCTCTATGTCTTTAGTGAAAACACTGGGATCAGGACTACAGGACCTCACAGTGGTTGGGCACCTACGGGGTAAGAATAAATACCTCCATAGTCTACATCTCCCTAGACAAGTCACCACATGCCTCTGAGAGGGAGAGTGGGGCTATTTTCAAGTTTCATATACTATAAAGTATAACGAGCTAATGCTACGTTCATATAGTCTAAGAATTTGGGAATAGTTATAAGAGTAGACACTCTACATCTAATTCCTGTGACACACCACTTATTTGTAAAATGGATGCTTCAAGCATCTCTGTCTGTGGTTCTTATCTTATGGCATGTTATTTAAAAATAGGTAATTCTGATGTGAGTGTGTGTGTGAATGAAAATATGAAAATTCTGATGGAATAACCCTGGGGGTAAAGCCTGAGCATACTGCACAAATAATCAGTCTATGACATCAAACAAACATTCTTATTAAATCAATGTCACCATTTTTCTCTCATTGGAGAATTGGGGGCAGAACATATGTGTATATTGAATTTGAAATCTCTAGATTTTAGAGATTCTTCATACAGACATAGGTAGAGAGTTGGGTGTGGTGGCACACACCTTTAATCCCAGCATTTGGAAGGCAGAGGGAGGCAGATCTCTGTGAGACTGAGGCCAGTCTGGTCTCCAGAGAGAATTCCAGCTCAGCCGGGGCTTCAGGAAGACCCTGTCTCAAAAAGACTGCCCCCCCCCAAAGTTTGATTTGGTACAAATCTTGATAATACTGTCCTCACTGAACAGTTATTTTACAAAGCACACAGGGAGACATACTTCGCTCAACTGTGGTTCTGTTTGTAGTTTTAAGAACCAAAAACAGGAGCTGGAGAGATGGTTCAGTGGTTAAGAGAACTGGTTGCTCTTGCAGAGGTCCTGGGTTTGATTCCCAACACACAAATGGCAGCTAACAGCCACTTATAACTCCAGTTCCAGGGGACCTGATGCCCTCTTCTGACCTCCACAGGCATTACATGACATGGGTGCTCTTACAAACGTGCAGGCAGTTTGTAAAATACACATAAAATAAAAATAATAAAATATATTTTTTAAAAAGAACCAGAACATCATGGAGAGAGAAACTGGCTTCACCTTAATATCTAAAAGTAAAGATACATCTTTTTGTCTCATCACTTACCTAACATGAAATATAGTGTACAAGTAAATACGACACTTGGCAAGAACCTCCTGGGTAGTAAATCAGCTAAAAGTTTTCCAAAAAAATATGATGTCACTCCATAGTATCCACTGACATATTCATGTCTATAAAACAAGAATGCATGTCATACATCCCATAGTAGTTTGAAATCACAACTCAGGAGACATGATATGTACAGCACAGACTCCAGTTCCACCAGAGGTCCAAAAGCACAGCGCCCTCAGGCCCAAGGCTGAACCCCAAGTCCTTCCCCATCTCAGAAGCCAGCATCCCAGGGCTATCAGCCTCATGACACTCTCACTGTTTTCCCCGCTCATCACAGGAGTCTCTCCTATGTTGTCCACTCTGGCCATAGGACAGGCCCCAGGGGAACACAGCCTGATGTCTTCCCCTCTCCTCAATGACTGCTCCTCTGATGTAGCTCTCTGAAGAGCAGATCTTCAGGGGCTCATGTCAGTCTGTGATCATGGAGGCTTTTCTCCTCCCACTTCTCCTTATGAAGAAGGTGATGCTGTCATATTCCTGAAACCCCACTGCAGCTCCAAGTCACTGCCGACTTTATTTCTGCTGCTCTGACTTTAGAGAAATAAAGATACTGCTTCCTTCAACGATCACACTTTACAACCACACAGCAGGATCAGCTCCCACATCCTAATCCTCCCACTTCCTGACATCTTTCCCGTCATTCCAAGGTGTCTTCATTTCTTCCCTCTCTGATGATTCCTGTCCTTGGAATCTACATGTCGTAATTTTTCTATCACTAGAGACACAGCCCCAGCAGACCTGGAATTCACTCTGTAGACCGGACTGGCCTCAGTCTCACAGCTTTCTTAACTGTAAAGCTGTTCTCTGGTTCTCACTCCTCCAGATCCACTAAAGGCTGAACTTGCTCTCGTTTTTTTGTCCAATTTGCCTTCCCATCTGTAATTTTCCAGACTTAATGTTCACCAAGCCCTTCAAACTCTTCTTGTGAGTGTCACTATGGCCTGTAATTTGCTAAAAGCTAAAGGTATTTTTCATCTTCGTCATTGTTCTTTTCTCTGAAATTTGCTAAGAACACCCTAGTACTCAAATCCTCCTCCCTTCCCAGCAAGAAACATTTGCTCTCAATTCTTCACGCTGCCCGACTTTTTGCTTTTCCTCAACTGCAATGGGTACTTCCTAGACAATTTCAAAAGATCATGTTTGCCTTATAAATGCATATAATTTATACTTGTCAATGAAATAGACAAAGATATTTGTAGACCCCCACCCTCACCAGCACCAAGATGGAATCTAATTCTGGAAGCGATCAGTTGGAGGTCGCTTACAGAAATGAAACTACTCACATGAAAAGATTCTTCTCAAGGACAAAGAGCTCCCCAGCAGATACACTGCCAAAGCACTGGTAGACTGTCAGCACTAGGAGTATAGAGGCTCTGTCAAGACAAATAGGGACAAAGCACTGCAGTGATTTTAATGCTGATGCGTCAGTTTTCTACCTACAGAACTCTCTCCCTTACAATAACATGGTAATTTTTTTGTTGTTAGACACGGTCTCCCTGTAGCCCCAGAGGGCTTGGAATTCACTATGTAGACCAGGCTGGCTTCAATCTCAAAGATCCTCTTGCCTCTGCCTCCCAAGTGCTGGGATTAAAGGCATGCATCATCGTGCCCAGCAGATGATTAATTTTAAACATAACTTCTGTTTCAAACAAAGAGAAGTATGATGCCAGCTGGGATCTTCCTCATCTCTCTGTCCCCACAGTGGCCTGTGTCATTGCATATGGACACAATTTAAAAATCATTGTCTTAGATTCCTGTGAAGTACATTATTTTTTCACCCTAAAATTAACGTGTTGAATAAATAAGTGGCAATGGGGTGCTATTGGCACATAGATACACAGGGAGGTAAGGGATTAGTGCCTTTTCAAGAGGAAGAAATTAAAAACAGTCTGTTATGAGAGGGCACAGAGAGAAGTGGCATCTGTCAAACAGGAAGAGGTCTCTGGAGCCTGGCCCTTCTGAAATAAAACCTTGACCTCCAGACCCTACAATGGAGAGAAAATTCATTTCTATTTAAGCAAATGTGTACAGTAGCTAGTCATGGCAGCCCTATCAGACACACAGGTCATAAAACACTTCCAATTTCACTAAGAAAAATTCCAGTATCATTCCTAATGTATAAACAGAAAGCAGTAAGCAAATAAAGCTAAAATTATTTAAATATTCAATTGGCCAGTATGTTCTATAATGTGTATTGCAAGACAGTGGAGGATATCGTCACTCAAACCTTACTACATCTACCACAGATCCATTACCAAAGCTTTGACTTAGGACAACCAACTTCTGTATGATTCCAAAGTGCTCACAAAAGAAATCAATGTGATATTTATCTACGAAGAAAAATATTAATGTGGGAAAAAGAAGACTGTTGGTAATTACTTCAAAGGAAATAACTGAATGTGGAAAAGTAAATTACTTAGTTAATGTATACGCTGATAGAAATATGGGATATAGCAAAGATTCAGTTCAATTTATTGTTTCACATCTAATAATGATGTTTATAGTTCTGAAAAAGGACAGTGAAATGCCTTCTAAATCACAGAGGGATTATTTTATACTAAATATATTTCATTATTAAAAGGTTTAATGAAATCTTATTCTCTGCAAGGTGTTAACCCATAGCCATCACTACTATTTATCATATGATTTATTTTAATTTCAGAAAATATTTTATTTTTTAATTTTATGCATATGAGGGTATTGTCTGCATGTGTGTGTAAGTATACCCATGTCATGCAATGCCCATGGATGTGAGAAGAGGGTGTCAGATCCCCTAGAACTGGAGTTATGGATGGTTGTTAGCCACCATGTGGGTGCTGGGAATCAAACCCAGGTTCTCTGTAAGAACAGACAGTGCTCTTAACTGCTGAGTTATCTCTCCAGCCCTTATTTTAATTTTAAAAAATATTTTATTTATTTTTATTTTATATGTATGAGTGTTATGCCTGCATGTAGGTAAGAGCACCCATGTTGTGCAATGCCCGCTGAGGACAGAAGAGGCTGTCAGCTCCCCTGGAACTGGAGTTTGGGACAGTTGTTAGCTGCCATGTGGGTGCTGGGATTCAAACCCAGGTCTTCTGCAAGAACAGTCAGTGTTCTTAACCTCTGAGCCATCTCTCCAGCCCTTAATTTTTAACTAAACTGTAAATTGTAAATGAGAATCTTTAAACCAGTGAAATTATATTTCTATAGTTATGTGGCAAAAAGTAATTTTCATGGCAAAGAATTTTATGTGATGGCTAATCTTCCTCGCCAATGTAACTAGATTTAGAATCACCACAGAAACACACATCTGTGTGTGTCTATGAAAGTGTTTTCAGAAAAATTTAACAGAAGAGGGAAGACTCACCCGAAATGCAGGCAGCCATCACTATGGCTGTGGTCCAAAGAACTAATAAAAGGGAAAATTGGGGAAACCCCAGCACTCATCTTTCTGCTTCCTGGCTGAGCCAGGGATATGACCAGCTGCTGCACACCCACCCGCTATGGACTACGCCCTCAAACTGTGACCCAGATAAACCCTTCCCACCTCAAGTTGCTTTTCGTTTCGTTAAAAGTAACTGACACTAATTCAATGTGAAATAATTAAAGCTAATTAGGATAATATTCAAAGAAACATGTTATGGTGACAATACATGCATACACATAAAATAAAAATAGCAAATAATAAATAATGCAATTTCATGAAGATGCAGAGAAGCTGGAAGCCTTCGGTTTGTGCTGCTGCTAAGAATATGGAATGATGCAGCTGCTGTGGCAGACAGAATTAGCACTCATTAAAGAACTGGCACAACTACCATACAATCCAGCAGTTCGACTCCTGGGTATCCCAAGACATGGAACACAGGGTCTCAAATAGGCACCTGTGCTCTTGGAATTACAGCAGCCAAAAGGCAGAACTCATTCAAATTTTCACCAATGGATGAACAAACAAAACGTATATACATACAATGAGCTTCTATTCAGCCTTAAAAAACAAAGGCATTCTGATACACGCTACAAAATGGATGAACTTGAGCTCATCATGCTAAGAAAAATAAGTAAGCCACACACACACATACGCACACACACACACACACACACACACACACACACACACAAGCCCAGGTTTGGAGAGGTGACTCAGTAGTTAAGAACACTGGTTGCTCTTGCAGGTCCTGGGTTTGATTCCAAACACCCAAATGGCACCTAACAGCCATCCATAACTCCAGTTCCAGGAGATCCTACCCCACGATAAAATAGCAACATTTCTTCATAAACTCTCATTCTTAATGGATATAGATAAGTTTGGGCAAATAATGAAATCTTGTTGAAATTAAGATTCAAATTTACCTACCTATTATGCACTTCAGTGCAATCATTTTTCAGCCCAAGGAAAATGGCGCCTGCAAGGAGCCCCACTATAAACAGAGTAATTACCTTTCAAAAAAGAAAATTGAGAAGAGTTCCAATTACAGGTAGAAATTTTTGTATATCATTTATATTATAGTAATATATAATTTCTCCATTTTGACTTGACCAGAGTTCTAAATTGTGTACAGTATTCAACTAATATCTAAATTAAATGGAAAATAGAGGTATCTGCTGTTTAGGGGCAATGGAGCATCCCTAGAAAAACTAAGATTCCTCCCAGTGTTCCACCACACACAGCCAATGCAGGGCCCAGTTCAGTGCTGCACCCATGAATGATGCACAGGGTAGCAGAAAGTGTAGGCACCTGGGCAAGTTGTTTTGGCAACAAGCCCAAGTCCAAATGATCAAGAGTTTTCACCTGAATCAAACTCAGCTTTGTGACAATAAACATGAAATGTTTCATACAAGATTCAAGAGAAACCAGGATGACTTTTGCCATTAGAAATGAATAAAACTTCAGGGCTGAGGATGTAGTTGAGTAGTATGATTCTCATCAGTAAAATGAATAATCAACAAAATTTTAAAACAGACATACAAGTTTTGACAATAAAATGCTGCATGATAGGAGGCAGGAGAGAACTGGCCCCATCTACCCCCATCTACTCTACCCAACCCCCAGGTAGTCTGCCTGCACTGAAAAGCCTGTTGTCATCATTAGGAAAGCATTCAGCCAGCTTTCTAAAGGGCAACCAAGTGATTCTATTACCATCTCCTATGTCACCACTTCCCCGTGAACTTCAACCATTGAGCTACATGGTCAGCAAAGAACACCTGAGCTCCAATTCCTTGCCATCCTTACCTACTTTTACCTGATCAATCTATGTTGATGGCTACCAAGGAGACTGTCCTCCAGGATAATACATCGTTTAAAACTGCTTCATTTAACAAAGGCTTGAGTATTATATTGTCATATGATTTACTTCAGAAACCTCACTTTTATTCATGGGTTAGTTATAAAAACATAGAAAATAGTAATAGGAAGAAAACACAATATCACACCACATATGTTGGAAATTTCAAAGTTAAAAAAAAAATCAATACTCCAGTCAATCAGTGTTGGAGTATGGAGTAATTTGCAAAGGTTGTTTTGTTACAAAGCAATGTAGAAAAAGAACTACAGAATTATGATCTTGTCTGGGGAGCCTACAGCAAGGCAAGGATGACTCCCTCTCTTCCTTAAGTTGCTTCTGTCAGGAATTTTGGTAACACTGACCTAATATCTCATCATTATTATCATTAAGATATTAGCTACATGTTTCAAAGTTCTATAATAATTTTCAATCACTTTTCAAAAATATTAACAAAATGATGGATCCTATATTATGTCATGTTTTGAGAAGGGATTCTTATGTGATTACACAGTGCATGAAAAAAAAGAGAGAGAAAGCAAGCTAGTCATTGCTCTTGATGACTCTCCAGAACACGATAGTAAGATCCCATTGCCAAAGACAACCATACTAGAGTCATGGACATGGAGAAAGGAAGCTGGAACTAATCTGGAAGCTTCATCCTTCTTGGTTATTTCATAGTGCTGGGTGGTGCTATGCACAGTACCAGGGGAGAAAAGTAGTTATCTATCTTACCTAGCTGTGAAACCTGAGAGTTACAGTAATGAACAGCCTGGTAAGATATGCCCACTGGTGTAATAGTGGCACAAATGTTATGGGAGTAATGAACCACTTTATGACTGGATTTAAGGCCTGCTTCAAGTTTTGAATGAGGGATGTTCATAGCTTTGACTAAAAATTGAATACATATTCAAATATTTACTATACTAATATAAATGATGGCTCTCTTAGAGGTTGACGATAAAGAGTTCAGGTTGATTTGATCAAGAAAACCTTGTAATTTAAAGCTTGAACAATGTCTACCATCAAATAATTAGACTTTTTTTTAAGGTCTACCAAGTCTAATTTGTGTTTAACAGAGGACATAAAGAGGGAGGGTAGTGGTAAGGTGAGGATGGAGATGAGGGACCAGTCAGCATATGATCAAAATATATTGTCTGAAATTTTGAATCAATAAAGTTGATTGATTCATACAAAAATTGTATGAAATTCACAAAAATTCAATTTAAAATGTCAAAAAAGAATACATGCTTGGATTTTCCTTAATGACTCTCACTATACCATCACTTCATTCTATAAAAAAGAAGCCCTTGTCACATTGATACTACATTCACTGTAAGACCTGCCTCCTACAACCTCTAGACAAGTTTGCATCTTATATGTAACTACCAATAGTTCAAAACAAAGTCCACGTATAATGCATATATACAAGATTTACCAGTAAGAAGATATAAGACATTTCCAACTTGATATTAAAATCTTAGAGAAGTTAAAATAGAACAAGACTAAAAAGCCTAAACAAAGAGTGAACAGATGGGACCCAGTAGAGCCAGCTACTTTTTGTTAAGCTCATGAGCCAAGAATTATTTTACTGTTTTAATAGTTGGGGGTATAACAGAGACAAAAATAATTCTTAAAATCTTAAATTTATGTGAAATTGAAAACTCAGTGTCCATGAATATAGTTTTATTCGCACAGAGCAGTGTCATTTGCTTATATATTAACTATGACTGCTTCCACACAAAAATTATAGGGTTGACTGAATACTTGTGACAAAGCATGGCCTCTAAAATATCTAATATCTGGCCCTTTACCAGAAAGGGTTTGCTCCGTTCCACACTTACATCCCAGCATCTACAAAATCAAACAAGAAAGCTCAGGAAGTTAAAAATTCTCTCCTTATTCTAGAGACTGTACTTCTCTCAACAATGCTAAAATTTCTTTTGTGACTATGAGTCAATTTATGAAGCAATATATATGCAATCAATTCCTTATAAATAATGTACTAAGGAACTTGGAGTACTAGTATTTTGTGGACATAGAGAATAAGAATAACAGAAAAACCTTAAGGAGTAATAATCAACAATTACCACAGAGAAAAGAAGTGAACATTGTTTCAACTTAGGTGAGACAGAGTGAACAATAGTGACTAGCCTTTAGTCTGGTTACTGCATGTGTATAACCAGCCCACTCTTCAGAAGCTACTGCTCTCAAGCACTAAATATCCAAATAATGAATCCTCAGTTATAGGCAACAGAATTTTGCATATGGTCTCTTTCCTCAGATAAGGCACCTCTTCGGACGTATCTAGTGACACTCCAAGTGTAAACTAACCCTTTTATTCCTGCCTCCTGTCTCCTCCCTTCTCCACCTCTTTTCTGCTTAAACTTTTCACATGGTATTTCTTACCATCTGACATGCTATGAATAAATTTTTTAGTTATCAACTACTTTCTCTTATAAGATAATCAGCTCACAACAGAGATTTTTATTTTTACTCATTTTGTTCAATACTGTATTAGAATTCCCCAAATATAACATATGTTAAACTTGTGAATGAACACATGAGCCAAATTTGACAGCTCTGAAAAAAGCCCATATATACCTTTAAACTTTCTTGAAAAAGAAAATTCTACTCAAATTATTCATTACAGCTTCTCCATAACAACAAAAATTCTGACTTAGGTAGTGCATGAAACCATAAAAAGAACTGTGTATGTAAAAACTGTGTAATACTTGTTCAATTGACTCTTCCATACCTCAGATGACTGGGAGAAGGGTGGGTAGAAAGCAAACATATTCATGAAGTAGACTACATCCGAACTAAATTGTATCACGACTAATTCACAGAACAATTAAAATAATTGGTAAGATTACCTGAGTTATGGTGATCCTGGGATAACCCAGCAAGTTTTTGAATGCACGCCAGGCAATCCACCTGAGCTGATGCCAGAAGGAGGTGGCGCACAGTGTCCTCTTAAAGGCTGAACTCCTTTTCACCTTCTGTTCCCTTGGGAGTTGATCTAATTCATCCTTCGTGACTCTGAAGAAGGAGGATTTCGTATAAAGCTCAGCTAATGTTTCTGTGACTTGTTTATTTCTCATGAAAAATTCTTCATGACCATTGGCTATGGAATAAAAGTTGGTAAAGGTGAGAAACATTGCTAACAGACACTTGATTTAACCACTTTCTGTAATCCTGCTTTTGGGTGACACTTTTCTTACAAAGCTTGAGTGGAAAAATTCTTCTTTGTCATTGCTTCACCCATTAGAAAAACCACAGGTGACTAACCTAACTGCTGCTATAATCTTATGGATACGGCAAATGTATCAACATTTTCTTCTCTATTTAGGACCTAATTCTGAAAACAGACTTCTTTTACCAACCAGTTACAATTCTCAACATAAAAATATGGCTCTTACTTTCTAGTAGTGTAAACACACAAGGTGCCAAGTTTCTTCTTTAAAAAACAAAAACCAAAGAAACCAAAATTGAAACTATAGATGGGGCTGATACAGCTCAGTTGGTAGAGTGATAGCCCAGCATTCATGAAGCTCTGGGTTTAATTCTCAATGCCACATAAAACCAGGTGTGGTGGCATATGCCCGTAACCTTACAACTTGGGAGGTAGAGGCAGGCGGCTCAGAAATTCAAGGTATTTTCAGCTGCACAGTGAGTTCTTGGCCAGCCTGGACTATATTTCCAAAACAAAGAAGAAAGAAGATGAGAAGAAGAAGGAGAAGAAGGGGGAGGGGGGGAGGGAAGAGAAAAATCTAGAAAAAGACATATTTAATTAAAAAATTTATTTGCTATATATTTATTTTATGTCTATGAGTGGCTGCATGTGTGCAAGTGCACCTGTGTCGTGCAATGCCCATGGCATTATGGAGTAAGGATGGTTGTTAGCCACCATGTGGGTGCTAGGAATCGAACCCATGTCCTCTGCAAGAGCAGTCAGTACTCCTAACTGCTGAGCCATCTCTCCAGCCCGACATATTTAATTTTGAATAGAAACTGAGAGTACCCAGTACTCATGGACAACAGTCCATTGATCAGTATCAGAATACTGTACTTATGTGAATTCATGAAAAGTTATGACTTAGTAGGCAGCCAAACTACTCAAGTTCAGTCAAACCAATTAGACAAAAATCTGTGGTTCTTAGAGACTCTCCTACCTTCATGGTCCTCATTTTCTCTAATTAATGTCTCAGCAGAGATATCTCCATTAATGACATCCAGGAAGAAGTCTGCAGGGTTGTGGTGGTCCTCACAGTGATAACCTATGAAAGATGGCAACTCAAGAACACTTACTGATGTTCTTGCAAAGTAAAAGACACTTCCAGAGAGTGAAGGATGGGAGCCTAGGGAAGACAGGATCTGAAAACTTCTTCCCCATCGTCTGCAAAATTCCCTCCTCATTAATTTTTCTTTTCCTCTTACATATGCATTCATAATATTTCAAATATTCTCTATCTCCCAGAAAAAAACATTTGAAGTATATACTTTTAGATAGGTGAGAGCATCTTACATTAGAATATACATATCATAAATCATGAAACCCAAAGCAGCTATCAATATGCTCTGGCACTTATCAGTAATTCCAAAATCTAAATCTAAGTCTAAAAAAAACCAACAATATTAGATGCCTGGGTACTTTGTTCTCTGAGTTCACTAAGGAGCTCTGGAATAGCAGCGAACATATCAGCAATGGATACTTCACTTCTAACTTCAGACATCCAAGTTATCAACTGTCATGCCACTATAATTCCAAATGGAGAGCAAATTCTCAGAGCAGCCTTCCAGAGAGTGTGACAAGCACAGCACATCTGAGCTCTGACCTCAGCTTCACATGGACATGACCTAACATCTGACTCTTACTTTCACATCCTCTAGCCTCCTTGATTAACTTTTTTAAAAATTTATTTTATTTATTATTTTTATTTTATGTGTATGTGTGTATTGTCTGCATGTAGGTAAGTGAATCTGTGTCATACAATGCTGGCGGAGGACAGAAGAGGCTGTCGGATCCTCTGGAACTGAGTTATGGACATTGTTAGCTGCCATGTGGGTGCTGGGATTTGAACCTGGGTCTTCTGTAAGAACAGCCAGTGTTCTTAACTGCTGAGCCATTTCTCTAGCCCCAACCTTTAAAATATTTTATTTATTATTTTTATTTTGTGTGTATGAGGGTTTTGCCTGCATGTAAGTGCACCCATGTTATGCAATGCCTGTGGAGGTCAGAAGAGGGCATTAGATCCCTTGAACAGATGGTTACAGATGGTTGCTAGCTACCATGTTGGTGCTGGGAACCAAACCTGGGTCCTTTGCAAGAGCAACCAGTGCTTTCTGAATTGCTGAACCATCTCCACAGCTCCTGTTTGATTATTTTTAAATGACATAGATTGATAGGTAGTGAATATTTAAAACTATTTTTGGAGTCATGGAGACATATCTATAATCATATTCAAATATCTCATAAGATAAAGGCAACTTCATAAGGCATTTTTAAGTCACATAACTCAATATGAATTAGAATCAGGTAGTCCTGAAATGTGGTCCATTAAAGTCAGAACTACAACTAACAGTTCTATTGATTAACAAATAACTCACACACATTCAAGGCCTAAATCATCAACTTAATATTACTAGAACTTGAAGTACTATCTCTAACTATGATACCCTCCTTGCCCCCACATCAAGGCAGAATACATCACATGCCAGGGAAAACCTGAAAACCATGATCTGATACATGTGTAAAAAGACAAATGTACTGATGGGCCTTTCCTAAACTGTTCAGCTGACAGACTAACTAGCCATGAGTCCAATACAGGAATTACTGAACTTTCTGGGAAAAGTCATCATAACTGGGAAGCAAAAAATACAAAAGCCCAGTAAATAGTGTCTGTCTCTGTTTCTCCCCATCCCTGTCTTTCTCTTTCTCCCAGCAAAGGAAAGAGATATAAACACAAGCAAATGCTGTAAAATAAAATTTCAGGCTTCAAGTGGACCAAAGGTGTTTTAGAGAGGTGGAACCCAAAGTATATCTACAAAAAGGTCAAACTACAGTCCTGCTGACCCCTCTGTTCTCTTCCAGGATCCTGTGAATTGAAGGAGCTACTGCAAGACTGTGTCCCAAGTGGCCAGCCTGGTTGCTTCAAGGGGTGAGGCCTGCTGCAGAGAATTGACTACAGAGAGTTAGCCACGGAGGGAGGGGCTTTTGGGGCACCATCTTGGAACAAAAGTGGCGGCCTGAAAAATAGCCCCTGTGTCTTGCCCGTGTGGATGCAAGAGGGGGCATTTACTGACCTGGTGCGAGACTGTGGGCCCACGATGTGTGGGTGAAAGCTAACAGAGATTGTGGGTGGGTATGGGAACAATCTGGAAAGGCAGCTGAGCCTCGCAGAGCTGGGTGCTGGGTATTGGGTGTTTGTTTCTTTGTAAGTCTTTCTCTCCCCCTCCAAAGATATAAACTATGAAAAATTCAGATAAAGATGTGCTATGTGGTTTGCCTACCTGTGCCAGGAGCAAGGGACCCTAAGAGAACTCGGGCGACATGGAGTCAAGCATACCTGCTGATTTAAAGTACCCCTCAGCATCCTTTGCAGGCCCATGAAACATGAGTTTTCCAGAGGCAAGTAAGGTGAGGCTAGTGAACCACTTGAAGATGGAATATGGAGGCTGATGAATGGAGAAGATGATTGTTCGATTCTTTTCGGATATCCTAAATTAAAAGAGCAAAAGTAATAAGTAATTAGCTTCTGAACCTTGAACTGAGAACATCCATTATTCTTGCCTTAGGCTAATTGTTTCCAGCTCAACTTTATTTTTTCTTATAGACTGTGTCATTTTATATATTGGGTAGTTAGGGAACATAAATTCAATGCTTTTATAAACAACACTATAGCTGGGGGTGGGGAGATAGCTTAGTCAGTAAAATTTTTGCCCTGTAAGCATGAGGACATGACAGACTTGACTTCAATTTCCAGCATCTGTGTTAAAAAACAAAAACAAAAAACAAAATCCCAGGCAGAATATATGAAATCCCTGTGACATAGAATCAGGTAGATCCCAGAAGCTTGCTGGCCAGGCTGCCTACTTGGTGAGCTCCAGGCCAGTATGAAAATGTATCTGATAAATACAAGCTGGATTGCTTCTAAGGAATAACACCTAAGGTTGACTTGTAGCCTACACACCTACATATACATACCTACATACACACACACTCACCCTCACACATAAACACAAGCAAAAAAGCACCAGTAGGGGCTTCCTTTAAGATGGTGAATTAGTGATCTAGAATTCATGAGAATGGTTATTGATATGCTGCTTACTGAATAGCTTTCCCAGATAATTGAATTAAAATCTCAGAGCAGGCCCAGGGGAATCTATATTTTTAATAAGTACCTCAGATAATATGTTCATTCAGATTGAAGGATTATTTAAAGCAATGATCATATGTCCAATACTCATTGATCAAATATTTAAGTCTTTGGCCATTTAAGAAATGTTTTTCATTTTTATGCCATGATAAACAATTAACATTACTAAGTGTTTATTATGCCTTTGGTAAATGCTTTAGTGATAGCTTTAGTTCTATTTCTCAATACTGTTATAAATCATTTCCAATATTATTATTTCCTTCTTTTGTAGGTAAATATTGAATATTCCAAGCAACTACCTAAGGGATCACACCGTAAAAGATGAGCTGGGGTTTGGTCTGTGGTTTGATTTCAAGACAGAAACTGTAAGTAACCTGTGTACCTTGCTTAATTACAGATAGAAAAAAACAAAGGCAAAAAGTATGATTCAAAATTGTTCTTCAAAATATTTTATAGCATCAGAAGATGGCAGATGACACCCTGGTGAGGTCTGCAGAGTCTCCAGTGAATAAACTGGGGAAAGCTAGATCACAGCTCTGAGAAGAGGTGAACGATGCCCAAATAGTTCTACCTTAAATAGCAAAATAAATTAGGGAACTTCACAAAACAGGAGAGAAAGCTCAGGGTGCATGTTCCCCAGGGGCTCTGGCTCCTCCAAGGAGTGGTGCCTGCTGCAGAGAACGGACTGAGCAGACTGAGCCCTGGAAGGAGGGGCTTGTGGCGCCATCTTGGGACCGAAGCTGGGAGCCGTGAGTAAGGCCTGGGGAACGTGTAGCAAGCTAGGTGGTACTCAAGGACAGAATGGACCTAAGGCAAGACCACTGGTCCAGGAGGCATGAGCGAATGCTAGAGGTGACTATGGGCAGGCCGCAGGAGGGATGTGGTATGATGGGTTCTGAGCTACCGGCGGAGAGCAGGGCTGTCCCGAGCTGAGCTGCATGGGGCTAGGCACTGGGTGCTCATTCCTTTGTAAGTTACTCCCCCCCACTGATAATAATAAATGCACATAAAGATATGCTATATGGTTTGCCTGCTAGCACAAGAGACCCAGAGAGAACTCTGGTGACAGTGCATCTAAATGGATTGGCTCAATTTGGGAAGCTCTGCATTCCCAGTAAGAGGGAACACCAGTAGTAGATGGTGGGAGTCAAAGATGTTCAAGAAATCACTACTGTACCTTCAGTGATGGACATGATAAAGAACAGAAAAAGAGAGTGAGCCCAGTGCAGAAACAACAATGGAAGAAGGTAACGCTGGTAAAACCCTCTCTTCTTGGAGCTGAGCACTTGGCATGGTACTCAACAGAGCAGAATCAGCATTTCAAAAAGATCCCTGTTACACAGGGGGCTATGCATCCCAAGACCTATGAACCACACTTTTGGGAAACTCAAAGCAGGTATCACCGGAAAATATGCTGAAATCCGGGAAACAGAATAATGCCAGAGTGCAGGGAGGAAACCTTAAATCAGGACTTCAGCATCCAGCTAGAAGGGACTGTGGTCTGAGCTGAGGCCTGCTGGGGAACTTTAACATAGGCTCTAAGCAGTGTATAACATCAGGGTGAAAAACTGCCCAGAGTGGAGCAAGCATTTGAAACAAGACTCCTGGAGTACTGCACAGAAGTGAAACTGGCATCTGATCCTCCACCCATGAAGCCCACCTCCCTGATATACCTGTAATTCGATATCCCAAAGAGCCTGGCAGGAAGAACTGGATGCTCAGAGGTATGACCAGCATCTGAGACCCAACAGTGCAAAGGAACTCCCAGGTATGAGATAGGCTCCTGGAAGTCAGAGAAAGATCTCATAAAGAGACTGCAGACTGAATCTGGCCATTAGGCCAGGCAGCATTCCCACACTACATCCCCATGCAGCTCTCTGCCCTCCACATCTACGCTACCTTTATTTAACACCCAGTGTCATTTTTCAGTCCAGCTCAACTCAGCCCTGTTCTTGTCTGATATCTCTCCTTCTTTTTCTCATTACTCTTTCATTTTCTTCTCCCAAAGAATATAAGCTGGCCTGGTTTGTACAGTCTCTGTGGCTCAGCCTCCTGCGGGATGGTACTGTTCTACATTATCTGATAGCATATCTTTACCACTTTTTATTCAGGCTATCTTTAGCCAAAGCTGCCTCATTTCCCTAAACCCCTTTTGTTTCTACACCTCATTGCTAGTCTTTCTTTGTCCTTCCAATGCATATCAACAATAGTACAAACAGTACCATCAGCTCCCGTTTAATGTCTAGTATTATTGGCTCTTAAAGGATGATTGTTTTTAGTTGACTATTAGTCTGTTTTCATAGTGGGCCTATCCCCTGGTTGCAGTTGTGGTTTGAATATGGATTATGCTCCATAGGCTCAGGTGTCTGAACACTTGGTCCCCTCAACACCCTTCGCTGATGTTGCTGTTTGGAAAGGTGGTGGAGTCTGTAGGAAGTGAAGTCTCATTGAAGGGAGTAGGTCACTGTGGGTGGGCCTTGAGGTCCCGCTTCTTGTTCACTCTTCCTTCCTGACTATGGAGGTTATATGACCAGTCAGACTCCTGCTCCTGACGCCATGTCCTCCTTGCCATGATTGATTGTACCTCCTCCAGCTGTAAGCCAGAATACCTCTTCTAGCCTTACATTGATTCTTTTCAGGTTATCTTGTCACAGCAACGAGAAAAACAACTGATAAAATAGTGATTGTTGGTGCAGACACTATTCTTTTTTAGAGGTACAGGGAAGCAAGCCTGGTGCACTAACACTCGTCTAACAAACAAAAATGATATATCAATCCTTCTACAACATAGACTCTCTTGAGTAGTATAAACACGTCCACTGAAAGAATAAAGGTGACTTAAATTTAAAAAAGAACTATATGTGGTTTGTAAGGATCTTGTTGAGAATTTTTGCACCTATGTTCATTAAGGATATGGGTCTATAGTTTTCTTTTTTGGTTGTATCTTTACCTGGCTTTGGTATGAGAGTGATACTGGTTTCATAGAAGGAATTTTGGAGTTCTCCCTCCATTTCTATCTTTTTGAATAATTTGAGCAGTATTGGTT